ATGTTTACTTTTCTGTAAATTTTTTAATTTAAGAATTTATGAAAACCATGCTTGTCAGAAGTATTTGGGAAAAAATGAAAACAGTTCAGTTCAAAAACAATAATTTTATTTTTGTTACTTCTCTGTTGGATAAATTTAAATGTTCCTAAGTTTTTTTACAATTTTTCTTGCTACTTTTAATCATGTATACTTTTAATTTTCTTAATTCATGCTAAACATATTGGAGATAATTAATATGTAAATATAAAATACACAATATATTTCCCATGGTTACTCTAATTTAGAAAAATTACAAAAGAAAATAACAGAAAGGGAAATAGTTCTGGAGTTATGATATGCCATTTTAAAGACACTAAATGTATACAATTTAATGCTTAACTCATTTCAAAATCTACAAAAGATATTTTCTCAATGTGAAATATTATTAACAATATGTTTGTTTAATTTCTTGCTTGTCAAATTCTCATCATGTGGATAATGATAGGATAGGAGGTGAATATTGAATAACTGTTTACAGAATTTGCAATTTGCAGATTTTGATTATATATATATAAAATCAAAATCTGCAAATTCTGCAAATATTATATATGGGGTAAATAATATTTATCCCTGGTATATCTGCAACAATTATTGATTTATTGATTTCTACTTGGTAAGTGACAGAAATATGAATATTGTTTTGCATTAAATTTGCTTGTGATAAATAATAATAAAAATGTAATGTATGTTCTTTACTTCAGAACTGTGAACTTACAAACATGTTTCTTGTTATTAATAATTCATAAAATCTATTAATTTCTATGATTTTAAAAAAGATTACATTCAAATGATTGTTATAGAATTAATAATCCTTTTTCAATCTTAGAAAAATTAAGTATAGATCTTTTTTCAAAATAAAACTGGCACTCTGAGCCAGTGAGTGCATTTTTTTACTTTGGCACAACAATTATTGCTGATCCATGGAAAATACTTTGAATTAAAAAATTCAAATGGAATGATACCAGATACTTTCATGCTGAAAAGTTTTCTGTTCAGAAAATAGAACACTTTTGATTTGCTTTCTTTCTATTAGTTTCAAAGATTGTTACCAAAATTACTGTCGAAAATAATAATTTTATTGTTTTGAAGATTAAAATATTTTACTGATATTGTTTTATTAAAAAATAAACTGAAATCAAGAAATATATTTCCTAAAATGAAGAGAGATATCTGTTTTATCTTCTGTCATAATCAGGGATCTTAGAGATCAACCATATGATCATGTTCACTTACTTGTTAGAGAAGATTGAGCTGAATCAAAATAGGTGGACATTTCAACTTTTTTTATGCTCTCTCTCTACACTCACCCATGCAGAAATTTCTTTTTGTATTTACTTTTGACTCTGCTTTTTTAACGTAAAAAATTTTTTTAAATTAGAGCCAATTAAGCCTATTCTGCAAAATAAAGTGTGTTGACAGTTCATTTTATTGATCTAAGGTAGTGTTTTAATCTGTTTCTAACACTGGTATCTGCAATTTGATAATTTTTTTCAATACTACTTTTCAATACTACTCTGGTTTTTTCAATACTACTTTATGAATGTAGTTATTGCACTTTTTGTACTTTTAGTAATACACATATGAAGTTATACTTCTACTCAGCACTATACTTCACAACACACTAGTTGAAAACCACTAATTTAGCATTAATTATCTGGGGATACAAAAGAAAAATTTTACAATTAATTATAGTTACAATTGTTAAACATTAGTTTAACAAATTTAACATATTTATGTAAAAGTCGACCCCCTATAACACTGTTGATAATTCCGTTTTATATGAATTCCATGTTGTACGAGTCACTTAGATTTTACAAATACGTGTGCCAGGCTGTGAATGGCTCGTGTATTTGTAAAATCTAAGTGACTCATAAACATGGAATTCATATAAAACAGAATAATCAACAGTGTTATAGGGGGGTCGACCGTAGATTGCTTGTTTGGACGATAATCAATAGAAACCTTTTTTCTTGTACTTCACTGAATAGTTCTCTGTTCTTTGAACACTGAACAATATAAAAGATGATAATTAATAGAATCTTGAACTTCTCTGCCGAATATAAAAGGATTTTGATGCAATAGGATAATTTGTTTTATATTTGCTATTGAATTTATTAAACTAATTTGTAATAATATAGAAGTAGGTTTATAATGAAGATTGTAGTTAAATACAGTAGGTGATCAGTTAACGAACATAATCCGTTCCAAGACTTTGTTTGCTATCCGAATTGTTAACCGATTATCAATTTACCAAAGGTTTTTATGGGAGTTTGATTAATTCATTCTAGAGACCCCAAAAAATAAAAAATATATACTTTCTTACTATGTTTATTTATATGTAATAATAAAAATACATATATACAGTCTTGATTTTTATTAGTCATTTTTTTCCGTTTGTGGGGGTTAAAGAATCTGTCCAATGTCGATTGCTTTTCTCTCTTCTTAAGAATTTTTCAGAAGTAATTAATAGCATTGTAACTGTAGAGATTCCCAAGCCTATTATCCTCAACCTGGTTTGGATGTGATTCTAAGACTGTTGTTCTGGCATCCTCCCACTTCTTCAAAAGATCTTTAATAGCAGATATCAGCATTAATCCTCTTTTTCAGAAGAAAACATATCTTGCCGAGTTTCTTGGTGTTTTTCATTCAAGAGTCCTTGGCGTTCTTCTGTTGTCAGATAAGTTTCAGGTTCCATTATGAGCTCTTCAATGTTCTTTATTTCTCACATGTGATTTTTGTTACTCCTTAAGCTGCTTGAGTCTTCTTGATAAGACAATATCTTTCTTAGATAAGATTGAACTGCAGCCTACTGTAGACCTGTTCAAGCCATACTGCTCAGCAATATCAGACATCTTCTGCCCACTCTCTACCTTTGCTATTATGCTCTCACCTTTCAAAAATTAAAACTGACACAAAACTTAACGAGTGCCTGCCTGACAGTCTCGCAAATACTATAAAAGAATTGTTTCTGTCAGAAAAATAAAAGGCTGAACTTACAAGAGAGAGTTTCAAAGTTTGGAGGAATACTATTTGATCAGTATATACCAGATTGAGTGTCGATGTCGATGTTGCTGCGCTCGAAAAAGTTCAAATTGTTGCCTGAAGACAAGGGAAGACCAATTGGTATTCATTATTTTACGTTACTGCTTCTTGTGTTTGTTCTGTGAGGTGTTTGTTAGCTGAACGTGTGTTCGTTGTTTGAACATAAAAATCTTTCACACAAGTATTCGTTATCTAATTTGTTTGTTAAGCAATCACCCACTGTATATAATTGGCATGGACCAAGCATTCTGAATACTGGGCATGAAACATTGAATTGTTTTTTCTTGATCTGACCACATCTAAACAACCATCAATATTTAATATTTTAATAACCAGTCTTTTGATGTATACAGGTATACCTTGGGTTATGTCATTTTTAGTTAAGTCGTTCTCAATTATACGTCATTTGTCAAAAAAAATATATGGCAAAATAAAAATCAAGTTTAAGTCATATTTTATTTGACTTTGTCTGTCCACCACAAGTATTGAAGTCATAATATCACTAGAAAAGTGTTAAAAGTGCACAAAATCATATTAAAATACATACATTGACAGTAAATGTTAATATAATCATCATAAATCCTAGAGAATGAAATATGAAAACATCTGTGGCTCTGTGTTATTTTATTTACAGTCTTTAAGAGCTCAATATTGGCATTTTCCATGGTAGTTCCAATATCTACTGTTTGGCGTCATTGTCAGCACAACTCAATATTGGTAAATTTAACATAAATTAGTTTATTTTCTACTATCACAAAATAATTTTAATAACTCTATTTGTTATTTAACCTTACAAAATCATTCTATTTTATAATATCTTAGAGCAAACCACATTCACAAATAGTCTGCAATGTATTGTAAACGTGTATCAATATATTTACAAGTATGTACGTACATGTATTCATAAATTTAGATTACTTTTTTCTGTACTAGATTAAAAACTAAAATTTATTTGTTTGTAAGCTTAAAATAGATTCTTATTAACCATATATTATTAAAAATGCATTTATAAATAAAATACAGAACTGGGAATGGTTACTTGTGGTTTAGCCTAGTGACAAGTAAATTAGACTTAAGTTGCCTCTCCTGGAACAAATTACCGACGTAAGGCGAAGTATACCTGTACTATCAAATACTTTGTAATTAAATAAGAATTGCAATTGATTTCATCTAACATGTCCACAAGTCTAAAATTTTCATTGATCATCAGATTTGACTTTGAAATTATGTAAATATAAATACAATTTTTATGCATGCATTGAAATTGAAGTATCTTAATTGATAAGGAAGATCAAAAGGACAAACCATTAAGTTTTTCGAAAGATTGTAAATGCATCTTTCTTGTAAGACATTAGGGTGTGACTATGTGGGATGTAAATTTAGTAGCAAGATAGAGGTTGAGAGTGATATAGGAAAACATACACAAGCAAGAAGTGAGAAATCTTGCTGGCATGAGTGAATTTCTGGTTCTTGCACACATCTGACAGGGTTTGATATTTATCATGTCTCACCTATTCTCGCTCACTTGCATCTGCATAGTCGCACCCTTAAGATGAATTCTTTTCGATAATAGACATTCTCTACTGCTAGAAACTTTCTAAAGCACTGAAAATTTAGAAGATAATGGAATAGCAGTTATCTATTTCTTCTTAGTTTCAGATTTCTGAAGATGTGAAACATTTTTGAAAAAAATAATATTTCCAACTGTAAAATAACTGAATAATGAAAATGTTTGAATACTGTATTTTAAATGAATAGGCAGAATAAGAATTTGATTCATACTAAATTATTAAAGTTTTTAAATGTTAAAATATATTAAGTTTTATTAGTAATTTAATGTAAAATATTTAGTTAGGGTTTAATATAAAACTAAATAAATTATTTGAATTATAGATAATATTACAACAACCACCTCAGGGACAATTTATCCAGACAGCTGATGGACAAACAATTGTGTATCAACCTGTTACAGTAGATGGAACGAGTTTTGTTCCTGCACAAGGTGGTAAGCATTATTTATCTTTTGATTACTATTTATAGAAATCAAAAATATATTTTAATTAATAATGTTTTTCCCTTTGTTTTTTAATTAGGGATAATACAATTACCTGCTGCATCAGTTGCAACTGTTGCCCCTCAGGTTGTGCAAACAACCACAGCAACAGCAACTACTACTACTGCTACTCCTCAAGCAATTACTATTCCTTCATCTATGGGAATGGCAGCTGGAAATATTGTAATGGTAAGTAATGATATTTTATAGTATAACAAAATTCAATTTATTATATTATTAATAAAATAAATCCAGGTAACTTACCTAATGCTTTTATTAAAAAATTTGTTATGATATGCCACAAAAAATACTTTAAGATTGGCAAATTTTGTTTTTGATCTCCAGTGTATGTGACATATTAGAAGTGATAAGTAAAATTTGGACTTTAAAGATTCAAACAATTTTCTTTTGTATGAACCTAAATTAACTACCAATTTTCTACTACCTCTTATTTTGGATAAAATTATGAAAGGGCACTTAAAATTTCTGTAAATATCAGATTTATTCACTGAATGACTACAGGTGGTATTGCACGTAGTGTGCATCAGGATACATTGTGTATGCACAGTTGATATATTTTGTAAAACTTTAGCTCATTGAAGTCATACCTAACAATAAATGTAAAATATATACTTAGTTTAAGTTTCTGGCAGCCCATAAATTTTTAGAGACTTAGAATAGCTATAATCTCCAAAAACATACCTGTAAACATTACAGGTACAGAAACTGCTATCAAGCATGCATAGATCAATTGTTTTCAAATTATTACCATTTTATCTTGGATGTACACAAAACACAATAAAGTATGAAACCTTTATTCAATGACTACATTTTACATTTGTAATTATTTTGCTATAGAAAGTCATGATATCAGGGGCATCAAGTAATCATTCCGATGTCAAAAGCTGTAATAGTGGTGTCAAGAATTTTTATTATATACAGTTTGGTATTGGTGCCAATGTCAATTTTAATAAAACAATATTTTGTTGAAAATATTTAATTCATCTAAATAGTTTCTTTTGGGAAATGCTCTAGCACAGGGGTGGCCAACACGAGGCCCCGAAGCTAGGTCAAATGAACATAAATGTTAACTTTATTATACATTTCACCAAAAGAACATTATGTCATGAGTTATTTGTATCATGTATTTTTAAATTACGTGTAGCTAAGAGAAATTTGAAATATCTCTCATTTTTGGAAAAATTCATAGATTTTAGCTATTTCAAATATCACACTATTTGACATTCAAGGTTATTTAGTTTTTTGTCTGACACTAGGTGTTGATAAAATTTAATATGAGACTTCAACTTCAGCTATATATTGTTGATGCACAAGAATAGTGACACAACTCAAAAAAATAGTTTTTCCAGAACAGCCATTTAAAAGTTTCTTTATTTCTGCAAGGCTTTGTCATGATCTTGAATTTTTAAAAATTTCAATCTTTTTTGGAAATAAAGATTTTAAAATTTTAAAAGTCTAAGTGGGGAGCGATGATGTGGTTGCAGCTGTAGCACGCTTGCTTGTTTACTTTAATTAACAAAAAAAAAAAAAAAAATTAGGTGTGTGGCCCGGCAGGAAATATTTTTTCTGAAATTTGGCCCACCTGCTGAAAAGGTTGGCCACCCCTGCTCTAGCATTTCCCAAAGATACTATTTAGATGAATTAAATATTTTCAACAAAAGAAAATGCATTTATGATCATATAGAATTGTATCAAGTTTGGCACTAAATGCTAAGGAGACAGTAAAAGCAATTCCATAAACACCAGACTCAACTCTTTGGTTGTTGCTGTACTCTTGGAAAGTTTGGAGATGTCATTATTAATGAGGATGCAATTTCCATAAGAATATTTTAGTTCCATAGATATTTTACCATAGTTTATAGAACTGTATATACGAATACCTTTTTTTGTCACAATAAGCACATATCCAATGATCATTGCTATGCAGAATTTGTATATGATCAATATTGGATCTGGCAGGAAAAGTAATTGTAGGATTTTTGATACAATTTAATATTTATCTTGTATACTAGTACTTTATCAATTAACAGGGCTTATTATACTGGATTTATGGATGCAGAAATTTAGTCTTACAGATCAGAAATAATAATTTTTATTTAGTTTGCCTGTACACATACACTTTAAACTTGTGTTTTGGACTTGTTTGTCCCTCATCAGCAGACATTCAAAAGACACTTTCTACAGTTAACAAATTAAATTTCTACAATTATAAAATTAAAATAAACATAAAAATTTCCCAACATAAAATAATAAAATTCTTACAAATTCAATATTTTCAAACTTCCTTAATAATTCTTCATAATTTCAAGTATATTCATAATCATTCATTTCTTCCTTCATAATTCCAAGTATATTCGTAATCCATATTAGCCATATAATTTCATAAGTATTCCTATTTTTTATACACCATAATTAATCAGATTAAATTTATAAATTTATTTTATTTAAAACTTACATTAATAATTTACATCTTTGATTGTTCTCTTTCGCTTAATCTACACTCCAATTCATTCTGATCTCTTCTTTTATACGTCTCCCCCTTCTATAATACTTCTCCATGATTGGTGGATCGCCGTTCCAGTATTATTATTTATTCTATCCATTTGTTTAATTACATTGATGTGTTTGTATAATTATCTTTTATAATTTTCTTCTTTTTTTCTTTATTTTCACCGTATTTAAGTCAATTTCGCAACCTTCTGTGTTAGTGCTTTTGATACAATTCAGTGGTAACCTCAAATATCGTATATTTGCACTATTAAGATAAGACGATAATTGAATCATAAAAAAGACCCCCAAAATCCGGGGTCATCTTATAGGACAGATATAAAAAAGAAGTTAGATTGAAATTTAGATAAATTAAAATCATTATAAAAAAAACGGAAAAACCGTAATTATTTATTAGTAGAGAGTAGGGTATGTCCAAAAAATAGAATAGCCCATACAATGTCTTTGTGAATAGTCAAGGCATTACCCGAATGTCCGAATCAGTGCGAATGTTTGAAACAATTGCAAGGCATTGCTGCCAAATGCAAAAAAAAAATAATTTTCGTTCAAAAAATTACAAATAGGATATAAGAGCTGCCGCAAACTACAGGAAGTGAGAGCTAGTGTACGCTCGGGTCGGGCTCCCAAGCCCCGCCTTTTTTCCCATAAGGCTATGAGCCATTTTTGCTAGGTAAGCTACGCAGGCAAGAAGCAGCTGCAAACTACACAACGTTTGCTTGCGTAACATAGTCCACATGATGTGGATTAGCTGTAGAACAAGATTTTATTATAATCTATACTTGTAATCAGTCAGTTTTCGTTCCAAACTTTGAAACAGCGTGGGAAAAACATGTTTACTAGTTAAGTCTAGTTAGGCTTAACTAGCTGAAAACTAGTTATATATAACTATTTATATACAACGTTTATACTGTATTCTTTTCAATATTGAATGTATTAATCATGTAATTTACGTACATTGATAAAATTCTATTATTTCTTTTTCGACATATGACATGTTCATGTAGTCATCCATTTCCTCATCCTCTCTTGTTAGCGTAACTGCTCTAGTTGTTGAATTCTGTGAACAGCGAGCGTACTCTAGTATCGCTGCGCTAGCAAAGGAAAAACCGCTCAGGTAAGGGAAAAGGGGCAGAGCCTTTGACATCATCGGTTGTGCTAGCGCACGTTTGCTAGCATTTTGCTCTCGCAAAGTACTAGTTTGAGGCGGCTCTAATTCTGTATACGCTATACAGTATTATTATCGCTGATCTAAACTAAATTCATAGTCTGTTGATAGTTTGGGGGTTTCTTATAGGACAGATATATGTTAAAACTATAAAACTTTGACGAAAATTTATACCTCGTCTTATCTGAAGGTTGTCCTATCTGTGCAAATATACAGTAATAAGAACAATTTTGTAGAATGTGGGCACCACAAGTCATATGCAAATCTAGTTTTCCATTTCGTATAATAGTTGTTCTATCACTAACAAACTGCTCAGTAAATAAATGATCTATAATTTAATAAAACTAAAATAATGAAATCAAATGTTATCAAAGTTTTCAAAATTTGAATACATATCCAATAAAGGACAAATATGCAATGGTACTGTTATCTTCTATTTCCAACAGTTCTAATTTTGAATGTTTCACAGTTAGAGGTGAGTAGTTCTGGTCAGAACCACTTCAGACTAAAAACTATTAGAAACAGTTCGACAACAAATGTTGAGACAGTTCCAGTTCCTGAACTACCAACACATTCTTCCTTTTTGTACTTTTATGAACACAGCTTTTAACAAAACAGTGAACTCTTTATCTGGATTTGAACAAAAAACTAATTGACAATGTTCCACAACTTAGAAGGAATAATGAAATTATAAATTTAAAATTCTCAAATTTAAAGATATTTTAAAAAATTATACTTTTATTAGACTACTTAATTATTTGTTTTATTAGTAAACTAGCAGGTATATGCAGCATTCCTAGCAAAAAAGTATGAAGGATAAATGTTAAAATGAAAACTATATTACAAAATTTGATTGTTTTAGCCCACTGTTGTTATGTTTATTATAAAGCATCAAGGAGATCAAATAGGGAGAAGATTGGGATGTTCAGATTTTATAAAAGTCTATATATTCCTGGAGAATAAATATAAAAAAATTTGGTATGGATCAGGCAAAAGGTTTAAGAGTTAATAAGGAGGATTAAATCTGGAAGTGTCCAGGTTTAAGATAAAATAATACAGTTTTCATTAAATATAGAGTATCGTTAAAGTCCCAGGAAAGATTTGATGAAGATTGACCATATTTGTCTCTCTCTGTTCTTACCATTTTGGTCAATCTTCGTCAAATTCTCATTGGCTTTACATGTATATATATAGGGTGTATCAGAATAACGTCTTAAAAATTTGGAGATTGTAGAGGATGAAATTTTGAATGTTTTGATATAAGGAACCTATAGCCGGAAATTCGAACTAAAATGTCTATAGCAGTAGGAAGTGCTTGACTGCCCTTCACTTTGGTAGCTACCCTTCCATCCATTGACATCGTGTTATTGCTGCGGATGGAAGACTGTAAACACACAACTACAGTGGTCTAACTGAGCCTGTGTACAGGACATTGTGTACTTAGTGCTTGTTGCCCTTCAGGTCACCCTTGCATCCACTGGCTCTGTGCTGAAAACACACAACTAGTCATGATTATTAAAATTATAGTTTAATTAAAATGCCTCAATGTCCTTTTCTTACTAAATTATAAATTTTCGTCTATAAACAAGCATTCACTATTATCAGGACTTTGTATTGTCTGTTAAGCCAGTATAATAAACAAGCATTCACTGATAATAGTGAATGCTTGTTTATAGATGAAAATTTATAATTTAACACAACTAGTCAACGTGAGTCCCTTGTGTATGCAACATCTGTAGGAACAGTTCATAAGCTTACGGAGCACATCTTTACAGCACTTAATACCATCAGAGGAGTGTGTGGCATCTTACAGAGAGTCGGACAAAACATGGTTCGTTGTTGCACATTATGTAACAAAGTTGGTGATCATCATATTGAACATTTACTCTATAAAGTAGTGCAGCCACTGATCTAATGTACAGTTTGATTGTACTCTACTGTTTTGTCAATAAAACTTGTCATAAATACTGTATTCTGCTGTTTCATTCAGCATACTGACCGCATAGAATGTGCAAAGTGCTGTGGAAACTTTATATCTCATTTCCAGTTATAGGTTCCTTATATCAAAACATTCAAAATTTCATCCTCTACAATCCCCCAAATTGTAAAAACATCATTCTGATAGACCCTGTATATAAATATAAAACCAATGAAAAACTGTTGAGTCCAACAGCAATTCCAACGGAACATAATGATTTCATGAAACTGTCTAATCCAACAGACTAAGTAAGCAGTTCCGAGAAACCATTCCATCAGAATAGTTTCATGCTTGGATCAGTTCCAACAGTCCCAGAAGCAGAACTGGATTTTTCCTGCCTCTAATCTAGAGTTTGAACATTATATTATATTATTATATGTTTTATACATTATATTAATATAGAATATAATTTAAATAAGTTCAATTGTGTTGTTTAAAAATTTAAATTTTTGTCAAAAGAAATTAAGATTAAAATGACAAACATAATGATGAGGGTTCCTCAAGTGGACATTTTGTGAACATAACTTTTTTTACTGAAGGAGAAAAGAAGAATTTTTAAGTGAAATGAAAAATATTGATAAAAATCAATTTTGGGAACAAATGGACAGAACTTGATAAAATTTGATAGGTAGGTTGAAAATATTAGTAGGTGATGTTGATACTCATATTTTGTCTGGATAACATGTATATCTTTAATTTTTTAATAAAACATATATTCGGATAGACAGGTGTTCTAATTTGGGTATAGTAAGGTTTGTTTTGTTAAGTCATTTGTTCATTTGTTTTACTTGTCTCTACTGAGTCTTATGATTACTGATTCAGATGGTGATGCGGAATTTTGTGACCTCTGTTGGTCTGGCAAATGTGACATTGCATTGGAGTCAAGCATGTTGGAAAATTGGTGGTCAAAGATTTTTTATCACAATTTATATAATTGAATACAGTTTGGTTTACCTTGATATAAAATTTCCAACTGCGCACACACACACACACTTCCAAATTTTGCACACAAATTAGATTTCATTCAACAATAATTTAGGAATGCTAGGAATTTATATGAACCTAAATGATAGCACTGGATAAAAATAAATATTTATATTGATTTAAAGTGACAAATTATTGATCCAACATTTTAGTGAATTTACTTTTTATATTATTAAAAATCTATTATTATTTCTTTTTTGTGTGTTATAACAGGTTACAAAAAATTCAAATTAATATTATCTTATTGCACAGGTTGTTCCTGGTGGAGGGGGAGGCTTACAAGCTGTTCAGAGAATACCTCTTCCAGGTGCTGAATTGCTGGAAGAAGAACCACTTTATGTTAATGCCAAACAGTATCATAGGATTTTGAAAAGGAGACAGGCTAGAGCTAAATTAGAAGCTGAAGGCCGTATACTGAAAGAAAGGAGAGTAAGTGTCAGTATTTGTTTTTAGTATAATATAAATGTACAAAACATTTTTAAACATTTTTTGAAGTTGTTGAAAATTCAAGAATATTGTTTTTGTAACTTTGATTGCCTTACCTAAATAATTACTAAAAAACAAGACTAGTCTCTATATTTTGTTTGGTGCTCTAATAAAACTTAATTAAAATCTAGACATAAGTTAATAATATATTATTGTTATCAGAAAGATTTATTTGATTAGATAAATAAATATCTAATACTTTTCTTTTGTCTTAGAAATACTTACACGAGTCTCGTCACAAACATGCTATGAATAGGATAAGAGGTGAAGGTGGACGTTTCCATTCTGGTTCGGTAAAGAAACCGGATCCCGCCAGTAATGATGATAGCAACAGTTCAACTAGTAGTAGCATTAGCATAAAGACCGGCAGTCTTGACTCACCTACTACAAATAAAAGTATCATAGCTGCATCTACTGGTATCTGTTCGTAACATTATCCACATAATAAAAGTAAATTTTTCCTTCTTTTTTTACGTATGTATAACATAAGTTAAAACTTACAGACATACATTTATCATTTCCCAGATTACTTTAAGGAAGCTAATGTGGTTTAAGTGCAGGGTCGAGTGCACAAGAACTGCAGGACGTATTCCACTCGATGTGTTCAGCTTTTATACGAATAAATGGCAGCAAACGTTCAAAGAAAGACATTAATTTTGACTGCAGTGTTTTCATCGTCATCCACTAACCTAGAGGAATGCAGTCACTTGAACTAACGAACAATTAAAGGAATGTCTTTCATAAAAGATAGGAACAGTGTTTGTGATTTACATAGCAGCAAATTTTAAGAGAGGCTGTTTTAATTGAGAGAGAGAGAACATAGTCAAAATTGTGTAATAAAAATCTATAGTTAATGATTTTTAGGAATGTTTTGCAACAAGGATTTGAGATGAAGTTGAAAAAAATCTAATCTAATCTGCTGTGTGATACGAACCCATACATCTGTTTTAAGAGAGTCAGAATAATTTCAAATTTTTAACGATGGCCAAAGTGATTTTATATACATATATATATATAAAAAGAAAAAACCTTTATAAATTTATGCACTCTTTTAAGAAATATATAATTTATTTAAGAAAGGATTTAGCTTTCTGTTAAAATTTTTTTTAATATATTATTACAGTATGAAATTAATAATTGTACAAAATTAGCAATGTTCAAATCTGATTAAAAAAAAACAAACATATTTTCCTAACTCACTAATCAGATGCCATTATTTGAAATCACTAATAATTTTTGCAGCATAAAATTTTGGATATTTATTAGGCTCTTAGACAAAAAGAAAACAAAAAAATAAAAAATACTTTTGATAATTATAATATTTATTAATATCAATAAAAAGAGAAAACTTTCTTCAGATTTTTCTAATTGCGTAAGCAATCCAGCATACAAAATCCGAATCATTCTCCATTCCATCTATCCATAATAGGCTAGATTCTGACGGGTTTAAAAAAAAAGACGTAGTTACTGTATGTTTTAAAGTCTATAAACGTTTTATAGTGGATATTTTAAAGTATTTTCAATCGAAAGACTGCAATATGATCATGTGCAATCATTACATTTAAGTTTTAATTTTATAGTTATTTATGATCTTAACATATCGTTATAAATAGATATTTATGATTTTCGAATTTGTAAATGTTTTAAGGAATTGTGCAGGATTTTCGTTTTTTGCATTCCTTTTAATTAATCGGTAATACCCGAAAAGGCATTTTACTAACCTCCTCCATCCCAGAGCATAAAGCAAAATAAGAATTGTAAGAAAACCAGTCATAGTTATTGTCATTTTTAAATTTGGTTTGTTTCCTGGGGTCAGAGGAGGTTAAAATGGCGAGCTTTAAAACATCTTTGTTTTTTCAAATAGAACAGTTAAGGTTTCCTCTACAGGTTGTGTTCCATTCAATTAAGGTTTTTACTTAAGATTTTGGCTTTTAAAATAGTACGGAGTCTTCCATGTACAAATGTTAGAGATTTTCAGTCGAGAGAGAGCTTTTTGATTTAATCGAAACAAAGCAATTGCGTTAAATATTAGGAAATTTAAAGCTTGTTCTCGCTATCTAACCAAACTAATGCAATGCTTTTATTCAATTGTGATATATTTAGAGAAAAATCTGGTTCAATATTATAGATAAAAATTATCTATGGGTTTATGTAATATATAATATATATATATTTGTTAATGTATCGTTAAAAGTAATTTTTTTGGCTTCGAATTGTCAGTTTACTCCAGAGTTGTCTCCTGGTTCTTTGTATAAAGTTTGTAAAAAAAAAAATAATAATAATAATTTGTGAATTTTGTTTAATTTGATATTGAATGTTTGTAAACAAATTTTGATGCAGTAAACTTGCTTCACTGCCATTTGTTTCCCTGAAAAAGAAAAATCGGTTAATGGTTATAACCAAATTTATTTATAAGAATTCAACGAATAAATGTTTCTTTTGTATGTTTGCTATTGTAAAGTTGTTCTATTGTTTTTATCTTGTTTGCCGAATAATCTAACACTGTTGTACAATGAAGAAGCAAAATTATAAATAATGTACATATGTAACTGTGTGTTGTTTCTTAATTTTTGATGATTTTACAAAGCCATATCCTTTACAAAATAAATATATAGTTCATAAATATCATAAATTTTTTGGAATCGCTGAACGTACAATTTATTTACAAGGTGAATGATTCATGCACAACACTTTAAGGAAGATACGTCTCATAGTTAAAAAAATCTTAATAACTTGCGATGAGTCATGTGATATAACAGAAATTGTGCAAAATACTTTCATAAAAATATTTAAAGACAGTAATAACTATAAATTTATATTATGATAGAAGAACAGACTTATTGAATCAATGATGACAAATATGGTTTTTATTTATTTATTTTAAAAATATATTTTAATATAAGAATTTTATGCAATAAAAGAAAATGCTTCTAAAAATTATATTACTATTATGTTTTCTGAAAATTTGAGGATCCTATCAACATATTTGTGGACCAGTTTTAAAATGATGAATAACATGACCATATCCAAGTGTGAGTGCTTAAGATGGTACAGCATCCCCTTGATACCAAAACAATTCATTTTTATTTTAATTTAATAACAAAACTAAGTAATGCATATTGCGTGACTTTAGTTAGCTAATCTTACCTAATTAAAGTAATTCTAAGGTAACTGAGTAACAATGTTTGAAAAATGACAGGAGGCATGCACCTTGGTCACCAAATCTGACTTGAGAGGCATCTAGTCTCAAAATTCTGGAAATACCACTGATGAGTAGTGACCACATGTCCTCTTTTTTTCCCAGACATGTCCTATATTCAGATCATGTCCGAGAGGAATTTTCAAATCACAAATGCTCAAGATTGAATTTGATTTTGGAGGTGGATACATAACTAAAGTTTTAAGAAATTAATGACTTAGTGTGAATTACATCAGCATAAAAAACCTTGTTATTTACCAAGAAAAATAGTCACAAATGAAAAAAGGAAGACATCTGATCAACCTACTGATGAGTATCAAACGGTGTATTGTTGGCCAGGTGTTAAACATGATTTATAAAATATTAAATACTAATTATATGTATTGTTTAAAACATTTTTATAACGTTAATGCTGTGGTGATTACCTGTTTTTACTTCACTATACTATTGTAATGACATTTTATGTTTGAAACAAACAAAAAAAAAAAGTTGCATGACTTTCCCAGCACTTATTTAGGAAACACTTTAGCAAAGTTTTTAAAATAGTGTATGGTGCCATGTTAAATTTTATTAAAAAAATAACTTTTATAATAATGTAAAAAGACAAACCGTTTAATTTTGAGTTAGATATTTTAAGTTTTATTTTTAAAAAATTGTAAATGTTAGTAACGAGTAAAATTCTGATTAAGTCTGACTCCACCCAAGATATGAAACATGACCCCATCTAACTTCAAGCACCAAAAAATTAATAGCATAAATATTTGCTCCTTATATGCCAAATTTTGTTTCTTAATCCTTGCCCCATCCTGAGATATTAAATGAAATAAATGCCAACCTACATGCACACATGTATCCATGAATTTTTTTCCACGTTTTGGGTTTAGGGGTTTCAAAATGTTGAGATTTAAAAAATCTCTGAGGGTAAAATTTGATATGTATACAACATGGAAAGTATTGGAATCATAACAGCCAGGTAAGTGAAAATGCTCAGTGGCATGTTATAGCTTCATGGGGGACTAGACAAATTTGAATTGGGGGCCCCACGTACAGTGTTGACTTCAAACATTTTTCTTCAGGAAAATCCCCAGTATCCTGGTTTATTTTTAATAAGACCTCTAACAGTTTAAGTTCTACACTACACCACACTGGCAATCTAGGGTCCTCAGACAAAGCCCAAATTTAAATTTCCATATTCTCATTACAGTAATGAGTTTATAAAAGATTGGTTTGGGGACAGTGTTGCCATTCCTAGTACATTTGTATTTTTTGGGTACATTTTGCCCTTTCGAGTACATTGAAAGTACACTTAGATTTTTAGTACATTTTGAATACATTATAATATTTCAGTACCATTTATGGTACAAAATAATATTTCATGCCTTAATTTAAGGAAAAAATGTGAAAAAATTAGTTTAATAAAGCCTCACTAGTGTCACTTCTTGCTAATTTGATTTACCCAATCACAACATACACATGGTGTATGTCGGTCGACATCAACAACATACAGATAATAATAAACAACGCTTTTTGCCCACGACTATAAATTAAACAGAATTAGATAACCTAAATAGGGTATAAAAATTTGCAGGGCTTATCACACCAAGGCCGACTGAAAGAAGGATCAGAACTTTTATAAAAAAAGGGTTAGTCTTTAATAATCACATATCAAATTTATGTAAGTATGCATTTCGGGTACAAGGACCCCTCATCAGCTTACAAACACATGGTAAAACGTAACAAATACAATACCAATAACCTGCCAATACAACGGGATAACCAATATATGCATTGCACTGCATTTACAATTTCTCAATGTAGCCCATACACTAAAACTAAAATATCAAATATAAATTAGAATACAATGACAATGTGGTATAACATATTATCTGGGACCAGTAAATGTCTTAGTTTCTCTTAAATTTTCCAAATTCTGGTAGATGGTTACACTATTAATAATAAATATTGTTAAGTATATTAAAAAACAAAAAAAAGGGGAAGGAAGATAACAATGAACTTACTCTTATTGGTCTCCAGATTTTAACACAAACAAAATACATCTGATCTATAAGCCTTTGTGAAATCAACTGCACTGTCCATCTGCATTTTACAAAGTAATGTGACTATACTCCCTACATCTGTTCAGCATCTGTTTCAAGGTTAAGTGTAAACTATGTCAATCCAGCCCTCATGTAGCTTCAGTCCCATGTTGTTATTAATTCTGATGTCTTCCTGTATTTTCAGAATTTCTAGGTGTTCCTGTAGTCTTCTTTTTAGTTGATTGTTTTCTGTCATAATACACTTGATGCTATCTTTTAAAATTTCACAACCTTCAGTGTTGCAATGTTGTGCCACTGATGATGATATCAAATTATTTTTAATGGCATATATGTGTTCTATAATCCTTGTCTTAAATTTTCTTCCAGTTTCCCCTATATATCTTTTTTTATGTGAACAACTGCAATCTAATGAATAAACTACATTTTGTTCATTATTTTCATGTTTGTTGTTTATCAATTTTGCTATGGTTCTTGTGTGGTTTGGTACTAAAATAATATCTAATCTTTTTAATTCGTTTTTTAATTTTTCAAAAACACCAGATACATATTCTATGTTATACCACATTGTCATTGTATTCTAATTTATACTTGATATTTTAGTTTTAGTGTATGGGCTACATTGAGAAATTGTAAATGCAGTGCAATGCATATATTGGTTATCCCGTTGTATTGACAGGTTATTGGTATTGTATTTGTTACGTTTTACCATGTGTTTGTAAGCTGATGAGGGGTCCTTGTACCCGAAATGCATACTTACATAAATTTGATATGTGATTATTAAAGACTAACCCTTTTTTTATAAAAGTTCTGATGCTTCTTTCAGTCGGCCTTGGTGTGATAAGCCCTGCAAATTTTTATACCCTATTTAGGTTATCTAATTCTGTCTAACATACAGATAGTTGCATGTGCAAATGTTATGACTCGGTGGTCCTCTTTCACATGTGTCACATTCTCACGAGGACCTTGACAAAATTTTTCAAGCCACATGGTCCAAACAATTCAACTCTGTCAAACAAAAACATTGGACAGATAAGGAAATCAATGATTTTAAACTTTTGTCATCAATAATATCAAAATAGCTGTTAAGTCAGCGTCGAATTATTACACAAAATAGTTTTGAAATTGTACAGTACAAATAATATAAATACTTTTATATTATTTTCTACCACTATAATTTAATTCTTAATTATGAAATTCAATTTTAGTAATCTTGGTAAAAGAAATAACTTTCTTTAATTTGAATCTGTCCACACATATTTAATTTATAATTTTTTTTATCCATCACTATAATATTTTTAAAAAATCAATTTTTAATAATGTATTTAACAAAAAGCCATAGAAACTATTTTCATAAAATCTTTTTATGAAATATTTTATTTTAAAGTATTCATATTTAACAAAGTATTCATGAATATGAATTTGAAATAAGCACAAAAATTGAGTATGATGGTATATAAATATTAAAAGTAACCAGCCGTAGAAATACAGTAATACCCCGAACTTACACGATAGGTGGGACCGAGCGATAACCGCACAAGTCGAATTCGCGTAAGTCGGGGTATAATTTCTCAACGTGTGTAAAATCCAAGTCGGATGTATGTAAGCTAATAAATGTTCTCGTTAATCTTATCTTGTCTTTTGATTCGTTCATTGTTACAAGAAATCACCACATAGAGTCTCTCAAGTCTCTGTAGATATAACAAACACAGAAATAAATAACACAAAATAAATTGTAGCTATGTGTCTGCTAAAATTGTAGCAACACGTCTGAACATGTAAGTTGAACAATAGTGTGGAGGGAATGAGTAATCAAGAGTTGCGTGGTGCTCAAACAAAAGATGAATCGACGAGATTTGAAAATCGCGTAACTCCGGGTTCGTGTAAGTCGGGGTAGCGTAAGTCGAGGTATCACTGTAGTTCATTTTGAAGGAAAATACTACATTTTTTGAAGGAGCTTCAGTACGTTTTGAAATTTCATTATGGCAACGCTGTTTGGGGAACCAGACAATTGCCCTTTTTCCCATCGGATAACATGCTACTGAGCGTCACATGTACAAACAAATAAAACAAGTCATTGCCACAAATGTACTTTTAAAGATGTTTTTGTAATAAAAGAACACAAACAATTGAAAAAAGACAGTATATAGCAAGCAACTCTGTATACAATCATTTACTCAAAAATTTGAAAGACTTTTAGAAATAACCAAATTTCTGAAGCCAAAAAGAATAATCAGAAATTTAAGTGGATGCCTGATGTTGATGATGCTTGCTTACTATACAATTGCTCAAAAAACTAAAGATCTAAGAATGTCCACAAAATATAAGTACAAATAGTAATGCAGAATTTTTGCTATCACTTATCTAATTAAAAATGAAATAAACTTGCTTTTTCTTTATATCTTGTTTAGACTCCTCTTATAAAAGTTTTATCTGCATCACTAAACTTCCAGATTCTTACCAACCTGCTGCATAAAATTTCTATGTGAAAAATTACTAGTTTTTTTTCTAAAAAAAAATATTATCCATGTGAATAAAAATATCTCTCTTAATTAGCTATGGAAAAAGTAATGTAAAAAAAATTTCATATTTAATATATAGTAATTACGTTAAATATGAGGCTCACTTTTATTTTCCAGAAAATGATTTCAAAATTTTGTACAGATAGAACCTTTTTTGTTCTAGCACTGTAATATAATATTTTCCTACATTATAATTAGTTCTGAAGTGATAATTCCTTTAATAGTAAATAGTTTTGTTTAGCAGCAAATTGAGATACTCTGAAATTTATATCTGTTGTTTGATGCATGTGCATGTCAGCCCTGTTCCTTGCTAATAGATGTGGAAAAAAATCCTCTTAGTGCTTGCAAGACAGAAAGAATTAAAGTAAAAAAACAGAATCGGAAAATTATTTGTAATCAGTAATGGGAGTTTTCCAGGCTTCTGGATAATACTGGATTGAACATCTGTTTTCTCTGCAAACAAAGTTCCAGAATGTGATTTGTTGTTTTGTTATAGATGTTCTAAATTTGCACATTTCTATTGTTTTGGAGTTGAATCTGTTAACTTCCATAAGTTCAGTAAATCGTACAAGGGAATCTAGAAATGCAACAACTAAGTCATCGAAAGTTATTAAGAATAATGAAAATATGATAATTAACTCAGAAAAAGATAAAGGATTAGATGAGTGTGCTCAAATTAACATGTCTTTTTGTAACTATGATCTAAATATGGGTAAAAAATAAGATAATCTCACTCCCACCCAATGTCACCTCACAAACAATTTTGAAAAGCTTCTGAATGAAATAAAATTAATACATTTGAAATTCAGAAGTATTAATAAAACAAATGGTGATATCCAGAAATTGATAGAGTGGAGTATCTAACAAGTTTGATAGAATGGAGGACAGAATCAACACTTTGGAAAAAGTTATATTACTCTCAGTGAGACAATTTTTGATTTAAAGCAAGAAAATGGTCATATAAGACTGATTATAGTGTAGGCTGTAAAACCTATGTCAAAACTACATGGAATGTCTGCTAGACTACAAGTAAGTTATAACTGTATTAGGGCATCCCCCCAAAGCGATGCACAGTCATGTCACCTGAAAACTATGTCAAATGAGCTGGGGCTACTGAACCAATAACAGGTTCAGATAAAGAAATTAGTCCAGAAAGAGAAGAGGAAGAAGACAAGTATAAGAATAGGTACTTTAAACATCAAAACACTGAATGGGAAGAGAAGCAAGTTGGTTGATCTTATGCAAAGAAGAAGGGGTCTTTTTGTGCTGTATTGTAATGTTAGATACTTGAATAATAAATATTTAGATATAATTAATATAGCAGGTGAATATGACCATAACTTTGATATACTAATTATTTGTGAAACTTGGATAAATGATGACAATCCTCTTCCAAAAAAAAGAAGAAAAAAACAAAGATTATTGTATAGAGAAAACAGAAAGGCAACCTAATAAACACGGAGGTATTGTGTTATGTATACATAAAAACATGAGTTATGAAGTTATATCAAAACTGACATACACAAAATCATCACCGATATTCCAAATAATACACTGGAACAACCTGAGTAACAAATCTATGGAAATATCGAGTTAGAGTTTTTAAAAATAATGTTAAAGATTTTGTTTTGTCATGGTTTTATTAATCAACCTTCGGCTTAATATTTGTTGATTTTTTCTTGTTTTTATTTTTATCTATAGACATTTGAAAAAGGTCTAATGGTCACAGTTATTTTTTTCTTTATAAAATTATAAATTCATTATTTATTTATTTTTTTTTAATATTTATAATATATTTATAAATTCACTATGGGTATTCATGATGGGAATCTTTTCTCACTTTAAGTGTTGTTTTCTGTAAGCTGCTATGAGGGTCTGGACTGAGTCTGAATTCTCATAAAAATTTGAAAAAGTTCTCCCCAAAAAGTTTTGAATTATAAAAAACCTGGAAAAGACATATAGTGTAACTTTAAACAAAAATATTTTGACAGGAACTGATAAAAAAAAAAAAATTAAGTCCTAAGATCAACCATCTCTGGTTGGTATCAGAATTTGGCATCAAGTTGAACATGATCAATTCCTTTCACATAATGGTCAATCTTTTCTGCATCCTGAGCTGGACTTGAATTAGTCATGGAAATAGGTGGAACCAATCAGAAAGCCTGATGAGGAATCAAGACCATCAAGATAGGTGATTAAAGGGTCAAACAGATAAATACTCACGAGGTTCCTGTTCATTCAGCTCCTTGTTGCGACACTTTTCACAAAGTTCATTCCACAAAGTTATTTTTCCACAAAATGTTTCTTTTATCATCATCTTTGTTCTTCTTGGGAGCTGTTCTCAGTTCTTGCACATAGCTCTGTATGAAGTTTTTTACAGAGATTCCATCTGCATCTCTCTTGGTTCTTTACAAATGAGCTGAGGTCATCTATATTGTTCACTGTCCATCTGGAACTTTTCTCCTTTGAGTTGAACACCATCATTCCTGAATCATCTCCACTGCCAACACACTATACAATATGACTTAATTCTCAACATCATTCTTCTTAAATATTGCTCTGGGGCTGTAAGATAATGAGGAATATACGTCTACAGTGATATTTCAGCAGGAGCTTTGACTATGGGACTTAGTTAGCTAAAAAGGATTGAAGTTTTGAACTAATATTTTAAACGGTGAATACCTCAAAAAAGAATTTTTTATGCCTCCGATTTCTCTCCTTAATAAACAGGTTGGTTGGTGCCTCCAAGGTTGAACTGTCTTGGTGTCAAAAAGCATCCAAATGAGGCAAATTTTCTATCTCTCATCATTCTGACTTGTCAATTCTGTTTTCCATCGAGATTTACTCAATCTTGTGTTGATATTAGGATGCAACAACAGTCATATAAGATCTCACACTATAAACAGTGAACACACATTCTGATGAAATGGTTACAATCCTTATTTTGTTTTCGTTGGACCACTTTATTGGTTGACATAGTCTTATAAAAATGGAGGAAAGTATTCTTCAAAAAAAATCACAAAACAACTCTAGCCCATTTGTAAGCAGGTTTCAAGAATTGGTGAACATTGCTTTGAAGAAGTTTGAAGTTTTCTGTTAAGCTATTGGCTTTTGCCATAGAACCAGTACTAAACAAAATAAGGTTTGGAAAAGTGCTTTCATGATTTTTGAGAAAGCCACTGATTGTAAATACCCCCTTCTTTTTTAAGGTGGATTAAATAATTGCTATTTTAAACCCTAATTATAATTTCAATAATAACTGAATCATTTGTAAAAGACTTTTTATTTTTATTTATTGTTTAACAAATTTTGACAATTTTCAATAGAAATTTATTTGAAGAGAATAATCTGTTTGTTTATTATTTATATTCACAGAGGAAGATGGTTACTTAAAGAATATTTACTCATTGTTGTTGAATTGTCTCGTTTAGTCTGACAGAAATTATCTCTATAAAGTAAAAGAATTAATTAATTAATTAATTAATTAAAAGAAATAATATTAGAGCTATTCTGAATAGTTATAATCATAACTTTTTAAAGTTTAATTTGATTATAATTAAAGAATTATCATGTATTTTAATACTGATCTTGTATATTATTTCCTGTTATAAATATAAAAAGTATAGAATTAAAGTTTTTAAGTATAAATAGTTGTTGTGTAACAATTAATTAAGCTGCCTATTCAATTCATCTAAAACAATAAATTAAGTCATTACTTAGGTGGAAAAGTCTGGGTACAGTTGTCGCGGCAAAAATAACTTTGTTCACTCTGTGTAGAATGGGTCTGCTTTTTCTGCAGATTTGCCTGAAAAACATTTACTTTTATTAAATAAAAATTAATAATAATAATAAAACATTGACATGTCATAAAATAATACAAGTTGTAAAGCTTCTCTTCTGAAATCCCATTCATTCCACTTATATTTTGGAGATTTAACTTTTCTGATTAAACTACTTTCAGTTTGAGTTTCACATTCTGAAGTAAATACTGGTTTTTCTTTTTCAATTGACTCATGATTCTGAAATATGTTGTATGTAATAAATTCCTACTATTTCAAGTTAAAAATATTTAAATAAAAATGAATATTTACTAAAAATGGAAGAATAAATCGACTGTTTAAATGTAAAAACAATATCAAAGATGGATGTTTTTTGGCTACCATTACAACACCTGCTATCATTGAATCAGGATTATGCAAAAACTCGTTACGTCCTTCTCTATTGCAGAATCCATAATATTCATTTTTGAACATAATGACTCCTAAGTCTCTATTTGCTGGTAACAAAGCTCCATCTCTGTAACAAATTGCCCACGGACAATAGCCCTGTAATCAATTCATAAAAATTAGAAACAGCTAGAAATAAGCTTGAAGCTGGTTCATACAAATTACTTTTAATTTCTCTTGCAAGTATACTATTAAATGAGTTATGAAATGCATAAAATTGCATTTTAAATATTCAATTAACTTATAAAAACTGTGAATGAAATATTTCTACAATTCAGTTTTTCGAAAATTATATTAATTTAAAAACTAGTAATGTCTTAGTGATTAATTTCATGATAAACACAATTTACGAAATTATTTAGGATGAACTATAAAAATCGTTTATTGAAGAATAATTATTAGAGATAAAATTATAAAGATGAACCAGTTATTATAGTTACTCAGCTGAAATAATCAATGCACCTTTAACAGTGGGTAAAGAACAAAATGTTATGTATATGCTTATATTTTATAATAAATGTTATAAAGCTTTTTATTTTTAGTGAAACAAACAGTAAAATGGCAAAGCCATTTTTGGGACGAGACTATGTTTGGGAGAGCGTGAGCAACTCATGCAAATCTCTCACTTGCGTCTGTTTGTAGAAACAGTCTCAGCATTTCGTATTTTCTTTTGACCCAGTTCTCGGTCCTGACGACCTACAAGTCTGGTTTATTTTGTGTGTGCATGATTTGGGACCACATACTCTGTGCCAAATTGCAACTCCTGACATGCATGTACTCCTTCATACCTCTAAGGTGTGCAGCTGTTGACAGCAGTGTGATTTTAGAGACGAGAGAGACAGTCTTGTCAATAAAACAATCGGCTTTTTTTTTTTTCTTATTATAAAACAATTTCTGATTTGTCCTTCAATTTCTCCAAAAAAATATGGAATGCCACTAATGAAAGTGAAAAGCTACTGGCATTTCACTTTCATTAGCCACCAAAAATATTAGCATTCTCTAAACTTCATCCACTGTTAAAGATGCATTAATTAATGTATTGCTGAAGACTATTGTTGCTAGTCATTCATTGAATTTTCAATTAAAAATTTCCAAATTAAAACTGAAATTTAACCTGTCTAGTTTTAGATTTAAATTTTTATTGTAACTAATTGGCCAAGAGTTATATAAGAGATAATTACAATATCTATAATATGTAATCAACATGTACAGGGCCAGTTTTAGTAGGTGTGCAGGGCAGTCAACCATGAAAGTAGCCAAATTCCTAGGGTGGCTGATAGTGCATTTTAAATAATAAAATTCAAGTATAATTTAATGTTATTTTAATATAGTGGTCATTGAAGAAATAGACTGATGTTTGCATGACAACTGATGATATAGATGTGCAGTATACAGATATAAATAACGATGAAGCATATGTGTTAGGTGTTTTGCATCATTAAACTTAAACATGCAAGCAACAAGTTGATAGAAAATTCATTGAACCAGTGAAAAATTAATCAGTGGGAATTCTATAACCACTATGGTTTTACTTCTTGTTTTAAATCATGTAAAAAGCATAAAAATTTTGAGTTTGTGAA